TGACCAGATTTGGATTAAATATGACATTTTAGAATGATGATAAGGATCAAAAAATTGGATTTATAATTTATTAAGCTTAATTGAAATTAGAAGTGTAATCTAATGATATCAGAGATGAAAGAAAATTATGGTTGGGTGATGTTACAAGTCTCTGGAGTTGACTTGATTTAATTTTATGTAATAAGTTTTCAATATCCACATTGTTATCATTTTCAAACTTGATTGTTATATTAATTTTAATAAATTTTTAATTGGCAAGTGATAAATCTGTTGATCCCATTATTTTTCTAATTTCTAAGTTTGCAATTTAATACTTGATACAGTAAATCATGTTGCAATATCCACACTATATATATTTATATTTGCAAAATATTGCATCTTTCAGCATTTGAATTTTCAACCATTATTTATTTTATCTTGGATAATATTATAAAAATTTCAGTGTAAATAATTTTGAAAAACATAATTATTTTTTTATAATGATAATGTTTTAAAACTTCTGTGAATTTCATTAAACTTGATTGGCTGAAGTTTGTGGTTTTGATTTTTTCATGATATTTCTTACAGATTTCATATTATGATTGGTTAATAAATGTTGGTCTGACTTTAAAAACATATTTAAATTGTTTTGATTTCACTATGTGTCCAAATGGTCAACTTGTTTTCATTGATGAAGAAATCTGGATAGATGAAAGTTTGATAGTGACTACAATCAAAAATTCAAAATTAAATTTAAAATGTTTGAGGAGTGAATTCAAAACCTATATGTTTAAAAAAATGATTTGAAAAAAGTGTTGTGTGACTTTTAAAACATCATAATTATTATCAAAAAACTTACAACCTAAAAATGTATTCAAATAAAAATATAAACTCAATTATAATATTTTTAAGTACACAATGACAATTCAAGTTTGATATTATATAAGATTCATATATTAGATATTTTTTGGAAAAAAACGTAAAAAAAATTTCTGGATGACAATCTATATTATTATCAAGTTTTTATATATATATAATATGTATTTAAATACAAAATAAGTTTAATACATAAAATTTACATATTTTTGTAGGATATATTAGATGATTAAAAAAAATGTGTGAAATCTAGACGTTTAAATTTGTGATAGGTTTATAAAAGCATAATGAAAACAACTATAATTATTGTTGGACTTTGTGCAAAAGCAAACCGCTAAAATCGTTTGAGCTTAAAAAATTTTTAAATAAAAATGTTCAAATCATATGAACTAGAATATTATGATTATAGAGTTTCAATCATTTGTAATTAAAATATTTAAGTGGAAATTATTATTTGAAAAAAAATTCTCTTTGAAGATCTTGGTTATGATTTCCTTGTCAAACATTTTGAAATTTTGAGAATACAAATTTTTAAGATTAGTTTTATACAAATTAAAAATTAAATTTTTTTATTGAAATCAAATTCAAATAATTAATGTTAGACTGTTAAACGTTATTTTTGTGACTATAATTTTCAACTTTCAACTTCTTGCACAATAAATGCTTACAAAAGCTAATAAGTCAAACATCTTTCTTCAATTTCATAATTTATCTCCGTAACATATTGTGCATGAAAATCTTGAAGTTTTGCCGCAGTTCAATCTAATTTTTTAGTTGCTTTTTTCTGACACTAATTGTATTTTTTTGACTATGCTTTGTTAATATCCATAAGATTAAGACAAAATTGAACTTGGTTCATTAAAATGAGTTTACTTTTAAATAAGAACACAAGTATCATACCAAAAACTCTAAAATATATTTCATTGAGAAGCACTTTCAACTTTTTTATATAATGACAAGCTAGTTATAAAACTAGTTTTTTTAACTCATCTAAATTTTACCAATATCTACATTAACTCTTGATTTATAGATGTAAATGAAATTTTCATAATGATTTATCATAAAATATCATGCACAATAATGAAGAACCTTTTGATCTTCCAGAATCTGCAACGTCCAATTTTTTTTAGCAATGCTTGTCATATAGCTTATAGTATTCATTGTATGCTATGAATATACATCAACATGTAAAAATTAAAAGAAGTAGTAAATGAAGATGTTCAAAAAAATATCAGTTGAAAATAAATAAATAATGAATACATAATTTAGATCTGACATAATATACGTGATTCATCTCACATATGACATAAAGTCATAAGTACAAAATATAATTATTGTCACAAAGTTTGTGTTTTTACTCTTACATGACATTCTTTGTCCTAATATTACTAACATATTCAAAGAAAAACTACATCACCAAAATGAATGGCATAATCAACAGTCGGCAGTTGTTGTAAAGCCTTACACCGAGTTTCCCTTCATGCTTTTTTCGTCCCCTACATAATATGCGCCGTTCTTTTACCACGTAGTTGACGTATCTTGTCTAATATTTCAAACAAAGTCGGTCTTAATGCTCGTCATTGGAATTTGTCCATTGAAATTATCATCGCGTCTGAAAGGTATCGGCCGCAACTGCACATACTACCGTATGAGTAATTCGTCGTACACCATGTAGCTGACCGGTCATAAGAAATCTCCTGCTACAGTTCGTGGCAGCGCAGTAATGGGATTACTAGATCCATCCCAAGACTCTGACCATGTTCCAAACTGTACCGGCATGGTCACATGGGTATGGCCTTCCCCTGCTGCCCTAGTATACCGTAGACTGCCCCACTGTCAAAAGAAAAGGAATCTGGAGAAAAGTGTTTTGTTGTCTGCCCGGGCGGCAGTCAGTCGTTCGTCATTTTCGCAACGGACGCGAACGCAGCGGTGCCGAGGACTCTCACCGACGGAAATCGAAACCGCAGCTCGAATCCGGGGGCCACCTTTTAGAGTGCTGTCTGCCGTTGACGGAAACGGAAAGTATGGACTTTCCGTCCTCTCGCTCTCTCTCGCTTACTTTACGGCCTCTGTGTCTCGTTCATACGAACAAGTGGCACGCACAAAACGCGATTCCATAGTATTTTTGAAAATAATTATTTCGAGTTACTTTTCACTGTGTTCCATACCAGTACTGTACTTCCACTCGGTCCTGAACCACCACTTCATTTTTGCTCTAGATGGTAAGGGTGACAAACCCATCTGGAGACTGTACTCAGTTAACGACTCTAGCCATGTCGTGTACCTATCACGTGTTTCTCCCGGGTTATCATAGAGATGGCAATAAACAAAAAAAATAATTAGCACTTTTTCCATTATGTCACGAAAAAATTGAAGAATATAAGTCGCTCATAAGGATTGTATAAGTAATATTTGTGCTTGCAACCCGTCATTCAAATACGATCAAACAATGCATGTCAATTTCTCTCATCTTGACCTTCTAAACTGGCTTCAGCAGGAAAGCTTTTGTTCTCTATATACGCACTGAGTGATTTTTTCAGTATAAGAGAAAGAACGGACATACTGACTCTCGCTTAGGAAAGTTCCACCAGAGTTCGGGCTTAAGCCGATACCAGAGCGCCTTCAGCCGTGACGGGCCGGGACAGATTTGAGTGAGATCCCCAACCGTCCATGAAGGTTCTTAATCCGTATTAATTGAGGATCTCCTCAACAACAGGAGAGGGTAAAGAAGAGAAACACTGAAGTAACCGCAGACACATAAATGACAAAAAAGATCCATGTTCCTGTGAATGACAATGGATTGCATCATCGTCCAGCTTTGATTCCTTCATATCTCAATAGGCCATACAGAGACATGCTATAGGAATATAGCACCTGTAGAAGCAATTCAAAACAAATAAAATTCCAGATTATCCATTACCTAAAGATGGAGTTTATCATATACTCCATCTTTAGTACATGTCACACAGATTTTTGACAAATAATTTAATTTTTTTGATTCGGACATTCTTCTGAGCCCTCACTTTCTACACCTTGCGACTGATCCTTCACAACGAAAAAAGAACTGCAAAGTGAATATACTATGCTCTGCTAAAATTTTGAATAATATCTGGACTGGTCAGAAACAGAAAGTATCACAAAGCGTGCATCCTTGGAGCATGCACCTTACATTGTACAGTGTGCATGCTCCAAGGATGCGTTGAAATAAGCTTTGCTAAAACACGGCAGGCTAAGTAATGCCGAGGCAGAGCAAAGTTAAGCTCTAACATCGGTTTCCATAAAAGTGCAACATGTCTGTTGATCCAGCTCTTATAAGCTTCCTTTTTGTAAATTGAATGACCACATGTTGCATATGAAAAGACCATGGTATGAGTTTTTTATTGTTATGTTTAAGAGGAGAAGCAACTGTGGGACTAAAAGTTTCTCGCAACGTGGTCATTCAACAACTGATGACAGATGTATCTTTCCGCAGAAATGCGTATGGTATGTCAAGCTGATTTTTTGGAAAAGTGTGCAAGGCTTTTTCAGTCGATAGTTTTGAAAAGCTTCAACTGTCAAGGTTTGTGAATCTGAAACTCAGAGTGTCAAAAGTTCATGCTTTTCCGAAGGCCCACTAGCCACCCTCACTGCCTGGCTGACTTTGGTAGAGATGGCGCCTACCATTTATTATGCTCATGAAATGTACCATCACAGTATGGAAAGGTCCGATACTGACTATTATTTGGTTATCACTAAATAACGATACACATTTACATATATGTACATGGAACATACTTAAACAAGGCAATCTCTCTTTATATAATTGTAGAAGATAAACTTTGATTTTCTTCAGAAAAAAGTCTTCTTCTGAGCATGATGTAAGAGGCCTGGATTCTTGCTCTTATACTTATATCTTAGTCGTCGTTGTACTAGACGAATCAATTTGGGCATAGTCCGTAAGAGATCATGAGCCATGTTGCATAAATAGTTTGACCTTTTCTTGTCAGGAAATCGGCATCCTTGGTTGAATTACTGTAGTGCAAAAAATTTATATCGAGTAAAAACGCGCTAGCATTTGTGCAAAGCAGTGTTTGGAACGGGGATGAAGTAAATTGTCTCGTACTGAAGGTCTGCGGTTGCATCAGTGATGAAGACAATGCACGAGAACACCGACACAGGCGCAGGATCCATCGATCTGATAAATGGTGGCATAGTACTTGCATCAGTGCAATACATGGTGGAAGGTCGCAGATGGCAATTGTGGACCAACTCAGATGCTCTCATCTCAAGTTGGAAGGAGAGGCCGAATTGGGCAAGTCCATGCAGGCCCATTCGGACACCAGGGCTCGAAATCTCCAAATTAAGAAGGCGTGAGCCATGCTCTGACTTAAGGCCTTAAAGCTCGAGACCGAGAGCACAGAGCCTTACACTTTATGAAGACGACGCTTTGACCACTGCACCAGGCTCTGCTGCAGTGGCATACGGTGGCCAAGAGCCTCAAGGGCCTCAAGAGCCTGAAGAGCTTCCAGCGATGAGCAACTTTCCGTTGCGGCAGAGTCATATTCCGCACGGCACTCGCTCTGGCGTGGACGGTGCTGGCAGCTCCGTACACGAGCCGTGGGATCGATGTCTGCAACGAGAAAGAGAAGAGAGCTTGTCGGTATTTGGTAGAGGAGTACAGATCACGAGAAAACCGTATTTCATACTCGATCGACGTATATACGGAGGCTAGTAGCTAGAGCTAGGCCTGGACGGGGCAGCGACGGGCGATTGGGCGGGGTCGTATTCTCGATAGTGTCTGAGAACTGTTCAGTCTTGGGTGGAAGGGGGAGAGGCGTCAGTTCAGTTCAGTTCAGTTGTTATCACAGTACAGGGAGGAGGAGGAGGAGTAGTTACTCTTTGGTGACAGTCTGAATTTCGTCATCGTGCATGAAAGTGCGCGAAATCCAAATTTACAAATTTATGACATGTCCCAGGCCAGCACTGGCGGACGTGGATTCGGACATCTGACGGCATACAATAGGCCTGGAAATTGCAAATGACTGATGACTGAATTCCCTTCTTTCTTACAAGAAGCCTTACAGTTCGACTCGGTCAGCATCTCTCGCACTGTCCAGAAATATTATTGCCAGTCGTCGATGAGCTCTCGTCCGAGCAGCGATGAGTAAGTGAGAGAGAGAGAGAGAGAGTACAGTGAGCCACTCATTAGAATGTTTGGCTCTCGGAACGAAGCGTCCTTCTGTCCGCCTCTGCTCTCTCTTCTTCTCCTCTCGTGTAGGTGGTAGATATCACCTGTTGCGTTACTCAGGAATTGCTCGCTCGCTCGGTTGGAGCATGACACGGGACTCAACTTCTGCTGCTGCATGGGCGGAGGCGAAACAGTCTTCTCCGTTGAGAGGAATGCTTTCGGTCCTTGAAGAGGAGAAGGAAGTCTGAATCGAGCGACGGGCCCAATTAATTCAAAGATCTCGATGGGGTGGTGTGGGTGACACAGCTGCTGACTCCGTGTCACGTGAAGCGTGTGTAATAGATATCTTTCTATGATGCTGAAGATGAAAAGGCGCTGTTTTACACATCAGGAATCGCCGAGATAGTCGACCGAGAGTCGAAATTCTGACATTGGCAACATATTCGCCCTCTCACCGGAGCCCCGAAGCCAAGACGTCGGAGGTGTCTTGTGATTGCTGCGAGTCCTGCGAGGAGGAGGAAGTTGGTGCATGATTGGCGCCGGTCCGAGAGAGGGCGACGAGAAAATGGAGCTCGACGATGAGAGACCGCGGAGTCTGATCGAGAAGCGCCGACCCGAGACTCAGAAGGCGCCATCCTCCTGCGGCAGGCCGCTGCTGATGCGCCGCAGGTACTCGCGGCTCGAAGCGGCCGTGGCCGACTTGGAATCCGGCAGGCTGCAGCGACGAAGGTGGAGGTTGAGGATCAGACCGCGAGTTCGCATCATCTTCACGACGCTGTCCTCGGTTTTACAGCGAATCAAGAAGGGCTACATGCAGATTATGCTCAGTTTTGCCTCCAAAGCCCAAGACAGCAAGCTTCTGCCAAGCCTCGCGCACAAGAAGAAACGCGGAGCTCCAGCTCTCGGGCACAAGCCCAAGGCCAGGACCTTCAATCATAACGACCTCGAGCAAAAGTATCTGGATTACATCAAAAGGTCCGTGGCTGATGGCGAGCTCGCCTATTACACCATGTCCATGAGAACCATCGGCGTGCTGTGATCCTCAAGAGTACGTCCGGCACTAGAAGCTTCATTCACGAATTCGTTCTTTATGATTTAGAATGTCATCACCTTTTCGAGGTCCTGTTGGTTCACGAGGATCCTTGATTGTAAGTGAGTGCAATTAGTGCTCGGGCCAAAACTCAGGTATTCATGCGAATCCTATGCTGCATATTGGTTCCTGAGCTTGCGAGTCATGGAATGGAACGGATCCTGTGTTTCCAGCGAGCTGCTGCTGCTGCTGCTGTTGCTCCACTAGAAAGAGGGTATCGATTGATTTGAGTGCAAAGAATGTGCATGGGTTAGTTTTAGATACACCTGTAGAATACAATAGACCAGAACAGAACAGAACAAAGTCGTTGTACAGAGAACGAGGCCGAACGAATGCTTTGATACGTCGTGTCCCGATACCATTTTAGTGCACATGTGTTGAAGTGCAGTGACCAGGTTCTGGGTAGCAGCAAAACATGCAGTTTCAGGTCAGTTTTCTGGCGTGAAGAAGACTGGTATCTGCTGTATAATGTTTTCCAATTCGCTTGTCATATCCATCTTCTTCTCAAGTGCTCGCCTGCTTTTGGCTCTGTTGTCGCAATCCACCGTCATTTTTTAATATCACCACCCGAGTGCTCAACCCATTGGCTCCTTGTACTCGAAAGCATTTCAGATCGCTTTGCATAGAACAGGAAGATTCCGTAGCAGCTGTGGTATCCGTGGCGTCTCTTATATTACATTTTCTCTCGTCTCATTCATCTCCTTGGCTGGCCCGCACGATGGAGTTCTCTGCTTGAATACACGATGCAGTTCTCTGCTGTATGGGCTTGGATTCCTTGTGAGCTTTCTTTCGTGGCAGGTGGTTTTTGATCGGTGCCGTGCGAAGTGGTGACATGATGACAAGACTCGTGGAGCGGATTAGAGTGTAAGTTTAACTGGCACCAATTGACCAATGGTAATTGATCAAGGAACGCATGGTGAAGATGCAAGCCCTTCTTTGTCCCACTCATCGAGTTGTAGACTATGAGTCTGCAGAAAGGTTTGGGTTTGAGGGGAACACGGGGGAAGTAAATTTGACGATTCTGTTTTGCATTGTTCACCTGAAAGGTCTACAGTTCACGAATAAACGAAGACAGAAGTGAGCTTCATATCTCCGATTCACTATGCGCCAATTAGCTCACAGCCTCGTGCATCCATGGAGCTGATGTAGAGCTCGGCTAACGTCGGCCTCAGATTGCGATGTGGAGCCGGTACATTGGCTCGAAGCGTTGTCCCGACCCGGAAGCCTTTAATGGGATGTGGGACCGAGGAGATCTAATCTTGTGTGCTTTGGAAGTAGCGCAAAAGCTCGAAGATCATGCCAATGCTCATTCGGTACGGCCTCCGAGGAACGAAGCAGCAGCAGCAGCAGCGAGCGATGTCGTTGTGGCGACGGCAGTGGCACACAGCGCTGGGCTCACTGTAGCCACGAGGCTCAACAGGCTCAGTCCCTGTCATCCCTTGCAGGCACGCAGCTCTAGCTCTAGCTATGGTCACCGTAGGCTGGGCAGATGCTAGCAGCTCATGGATTCTCTTTTTCTTAAGCTCGCCCCCGAAGCCAATTACTGTTCTTAACCTCTTTTATTTCATCCCTCGTACCGCTGTCATGCCTGCCGCACTTCGTGCTGATCGACATGCGCTTTCTCGAGAACAAAGTGAGCGATTCACGTGCCGCTTCCATTCCCATTCCCGAACGACAAATGTCTACCATTGTATAAAGTGCGGGTTGAGGTGTATTTCCGGGCGAGTCTGAGTCTACGAACTGACAGTCGAGCAGCCGATCTTCAGCCTCCATGGGCTGAAGCAGGGCGACAGTTTTGAGAGAACTGAGCTGAAGGCAGTTCTGTTTGTTGCACATTGCCCATAGTTCCACTGGATTTCCAGCGTCCGGTTGCCTCTCTACGAATATGGATGCAGACCTGCTATTGCCATGGCTGGCGGGATGAGCGAATCCTCCTCAATTCACGGGTCATGGTCACAATACTCAGTCATGGCCTTGAAGCTGAAGCTGATGGCGGGTATATTCCATATAGATTCCAGTTGAATGAGGACGTTACCCCCGACGAGAACCTCAGAGAAGAGTAAGTCAGCTTCGTCATTCACGAACTGTCCATGATGCCTAGGGATGGGCACGTAGCCGGCTGAAATAAATTATGGGATAATTTCGACCGAATCTGAATGAAAAGTCGGCCGAAAACGAAAATTCGGTCCGAGTTTACGGTTCGTTTTTGGTCAATAGCGGTGGCAATATTAGCCGGCTAGCCGTTAGGCCGAGCCGTGCCCAGCCCTAATGATGCCCACGGCAGGCAGTGAAGATTGGAACTCCAAGCTGCGATATCTTCTGCAATCTCATCTCTCTTCACGAGCATGAGTGCAAGGAGCGTGGCTTTTGTTTCGGTCATCGCTCACTGGGCCCCCACGATTTTCACATGAATTTTCACTTGAAGTGTTGCTCATGTGAGAATTGAAGGTGTGTTAGACTAACCATCTTGTTCGCTCCATTTTCCCTCATGCATCAATTCCCTCTAGTTTTTGTTGGCTATTAGAAGTCCCTGACCTTGGCGTAGCCCCATAGGTGGGTAATTCGGACTGTATTTAATTATTAATTTTTTATAAAAAATATTCTTCAAATTGGATCAGAATGAGACCAAACTATTATTTAATAGTGGAGTAAGCCCGAATGTAGCTTAAGTAACTTCAGGATGAGAGTATGTGACCTTGCGTAAACCTTCTCACCCACATATAAGGATGCAAATAGGATGGGTTATTAATAAAAACATCTAGAACGAAGTGGGAAGAAAGTAGGCACGGCGAAAATGTATATTTCAACTTTGAAAATGAAGAATCAAATTTGAAAGATGTGTAAAAATACACAATATGAAGAAGCAGTCCATAGCAATAACTGAAGCTAGTAATATTACTAGGTTGGGTCTTGATGAAAAGTTGACATTTGGCATGTACATGCAGATGATGGTGAAGCTGTATCAAACAACCAACAAGTTAAGTAGCTTCATATGTGCCCAAATTTTGTTAAGAACCTTGTGCTAAGAGGACAAAGAGCACATTGGCTAATGAAGCTATCTTAATCCATGGGATGAGATTCCGTATCTAGATGATGTTGGACAAGCTTTCAACTGCGATTAACATGATATTTGATTGGAAAGGTTAATTTTTGATGATTCTAAGTGGTTTTATTTTTTTTAAAAGCATACACACCAGCGGGTTCGAGAAAGTTTTAATCAGAAAAAAATTTCAATAGTGTCATAAATATTTGAAAGAAATAAACTTGCTTTAGATGTTTAAATATTCATCAAAGGTTATGTCACAAGAACGATCAAAGTTTATTGAAGCTAAATTTTTGCTGGGAATGTGCAAGTCACAAGGGAGTAATTGCGGGTGTTGACTTTATCTGCATTCAACCTTCCGTAAGTCACATGTATTCGCAATTGAGGTGGTTGACACCTCCGAGGGAAATAAGTATAATTCTGAAATGAAATAATTACCCATTCGAGCAAAAGGAAATTCAAATTAGCCAACCAAGATTATACCTTGTTTCCTAAAACGATCGATAGAGATGAAAGGTTTTCAAAAGTGTCTTGGAAGGTGTTAAGTAGATTATTTGGCATGGCAAAAGAGTTCGTATTCAGATGGAACGCTTTGGAATTGGCGATTCAACAAAGCCATGATGTAGAGAACATTCTCCATAATAAATGAAGTTCTTTAAAGACGTGTTGACTTTGTCCAAATCAACGACATAGACTTCACAATCTAAAGTGATCAATTTCAAGATTTGAGTAGATTTATTTTGTGAATTTCTCAGCTAATTCAAAAGATAGAGACTATGATCTAGCTAGTTTGTTTGCATGTGAGTGAATTGAAGATCAACTACATCGATGGTTGGACTTTTCAAGACAATGTGTGATGAAAGTGGTCTGTGAATACCGTAGCTCAATATAAGAAAAATCAAACGAAAACATATGAGGAATTGATCAAAGTGATAGCGCAAGTGGAGATGAAGGAAGCGGAGGAATGAAGTAAGGTTTGACCTGAGATCTTATTTTAGACGAGCTCTTCAAGCTCAAGGATATTGACTCTCAATTTAAGTAGCTGAGGATTTGGGAATTCAAGCTGTAGTAGAGTATTGATTTAAACAAGTCGAAAATTAGAATGGGAATATGATACATATTGCACAACTCTGTAATATGTATCCTTTACATCTCTGAACTTATTTGGCGTGGGAAAGCTTCTACAACTGCTCGGGGAGTGTGGATTTCTCTTCTCTTTTTCTGGAAATGAACCTACCAAATCAATCAAGGCAGCTGAGCGAGATACTCCGAGTTGTGGTGGAAATGGTTGCAACCAAGCACAAGCATCTCAGGCGAAATACATGCATAACTCAAGTCTCTACCGACAGGGTTACTGAAGTGTTCCTCAGTACCTTCACAACATCCATCGGAAATCATCACGTAGTTGGTGAGAAGAGTCGGACTGACTGTTCGGAATCACCCTAACTGCATACACTGATTGTCTAAACTTAGCTAAAAATTTATAGTTACATAAAAGATGTAATTATATTACGACTCCTATATACAGTTGAGCCCTTGCTCAAACCCATCAATGAAGATCTAGTCCAAGAGTACAGAGGAATTTGAAAGACTCTTTTCGGAGCAGATTTGAAATGAGAGTAAACTTTTTATACGTAAAATGAATTACTCTAGAAAGATTAATCCTCTCATAAACACAGCCAAAAAAAAGTCACTGACATAAATCTGTTTATTAGCAGAAACATTTTTCGAATTGCTGATATATACATATATTTCTTATCTGTATGTTGTAATTTAGCTTTCTTTTAAAAACATAAAATAGATGAAATCCTGATGATCATCCATGATGATCATCCATGATGATTTATTAAGCTCATGTCGAGGGCTCTCAATATTTCAATAATGCTGATGATTTCCTTGCTGTTTCATTGTCTACTTCATCAACGTAGTTGTGTTTAGGTTCTGACGTTGGAGTTTATTTCAAGGATATGTGTGGTGTTGGATCCACGGTGAGGGTAGCACAAAAGCGAAGCAAAGTTAGGCCAGTTGCTGTGAATTCAGGATTAACAAACGACATGTTTTACCTAGGAAGGGGGCAGAAAATTAGAGTGAATGTGGATAGCAAGTGAGGCATTTGCAGGCAGTCGATTGATCTCATGAAGCGGGCAGTTCAAAATGGAAACAGAGGCACACTCTCTCCAACTGCCATCGTCTATTTACATTGGTTCCAGCAGCATGTGGACCGCCACAAGTACACGTAGATAGAGAGTTATTGTTTGTGGATTGATGTCAATGCAATAATCTCAATAATGTCCCTTAGTTATTCACCGACCACAAAAATATATACCCTAGATGAAGTGGACGCCGATCTTTAAAAGACTTTGTTAGTCATCAAAAATAGTAACTACCTCTACTTCCAGTACTGTATTGTGTTTCATAATCCGTTACTAATATGTACAATCCAAGTAAGTTAGTCTGTATGTTTTTCACTCCTCACCTGCGGTCCAAGGCACCTGCGACTGGACTACAGCTCCGAGGTTGT